CATACCAACACCATCACCAGACACACCAACACCATCACCTGACACACCAACACCATCACCTGACACACCAACACCAGACACACCAACACCAGACACTCCAACACCAGACAAACCAACACCATCACCAGACACACCAACACCATCACCAAACACACCAACACCATCACCAGACACACCAACACCATCACCTTTCACACCAACACCAGACACACCAACACCAGACACACCAACACCAGACACACCAACACCAAACACACCAACACCAGACACACCAACACCAGACACACCAACACCATCACCAGACACACCAACACCATCACCAAACATACCAACACCATCACCAGACACACCAACACCATCACCTGACACACCAACACCATCACCTGACACACCAACACCAGACACACCAACACCAGACACTCCAACACCAGACAAACCAACACCATCACTAGACACACCAACACCTGACACACCAACACCAGACACACCAACACCAGACACACCATCACCAGACACACAATCACTAGACACACCAACACCAGACACTCCAACACCAGACAAACCAACACCAGACACACCAACACCAGACACACCAACACCAGACACACCAACACCAGACACTCCAACACCAGACAAACCAACACCATCACTAGACACACCAACACCAGACACACCAACACCTGACACACCAACACCAGACACACCATCACCAGATACACCAACAACAGACACATTATAACCAGACACACCAACACCAACACCATCACCAGACACACCAACACCAACACCAGATACACACCAACACCATCACCAGACACACCAACACCATCACCAGACACACCAACACCATAACCAGACACACCATCACCAGATACACCAACACCAGTCACACCAACACCAGACACACCATCACCAGACACACCAACACTTGACACACTAACACCATAACCAGACACACCAACACAAGACACACCAATACCATCACCTGACAAACTATCACCAGACACACCAACACCAGACACACCAACACCAGACACACCATCACCAGACAGACCATCACCATCACCAGACATACCATCACCATCACGAGACACACCAACACCTGACACACCATCACCAGACACACCAACACCAGACACACCAACACCAGACACACCAACAACAGACATACCAACACTATCGCCAGACACACCAACAACAGACACACCAACACCATATCCAGACACACAATCACCATCACCAGACACACCATCACCAGATACACCAACACCAGACACACCAACACCATCACCAGACACACCATCACCAGACACACCAACACCATCCCCAGACACACCATCACCCGACACACCATCACCAGACACACCATCACCAGACACACCAACACCATCACCAGACACACCAACACCATCACCAGACACACCAACACCAGACATACAAACACCATCACCAGACACACCAACACCAGACACACCAACACCAGACACACCAACAACAGATGCACCAACAACAGATGCACCAACACCAACACCATCAGCAGACACACCACCACCAGACACCAGACACACCAACACCAGACACACCAACACCAGACACACCATCACCAGACTCACCATCACCAGACACACCAACACCATCACCAGACACACCAACACCAACACCAGACACATCAACACCAGACACACCAACACCATCACGAGACACGCCAACTCCATCACGAGACACACCAACACCATCACCAGACACACCAACACCAGACACACCATCACCAGACACCAGACACACCAACACCAGACACACCATCACCAGACACACCAACACCAGACACACCATCACCAGACACACCATCACCAGACACACCAACACCAGACACACCATCACCAGACACTCCAACATCAGACACACCATCACCAGACACACCATCACCAGACACACCAACATCAACACCAGACACACCATCACCAGACACACCAACACCAGACACACCATCACCAGACACACCAACATCAACACCAGACACACCAACACCAGACACACCAAAACCAGACACACCAACACCAGACACTCCAACACCAGACACACCAACACCAACACCAGACACACCAACACCATCACCAGACACACCATTTCCAGACGCACCAATACCATCACGAGACACACCAACACCATCACCAGACACACCAACACCAACACCAGACACAACAAAACCATCACCAGACACAACAACACCATCACCAGACACATCAACACCATCACCAGACACATCAACACCATCACCAGACACACCAACACCATCACCAGACACACCATCTCCAGACACACCAACACCAGACACACCAACACCAGACACACCAACACCAGATACACCAACAACAGACATACCAACACTATCGCCAGACACACCAACACCAGACACACCAACACCATATCCAGACACACAATCACCATCACCAGACACACCAACACCATAAACAGACACACCAACACCATAACCAGACACACCAACACCATCACCAGACACACGAACACCAACACCAGACACACCAACACCAGACACACCAACACCAGACACACCAACAACAGACATACCAACACCATCGCCAGACACACACCAACACCATCACCAGACACACCAACACCAGACACACCAACACCAGACACACCAACACCAGACACACCAACACCATCACCAAACACACCAACACCATCACCAGACACACCAACACCATCACCAGACACATCAACACCAACACCAGACACACCAGACACATCAACACCAACACCAGACACACCAACACCAGACACCAGACACACCTACACCAGACACACCATCACCAGACTCACCATCACCAGACACACCAACACCAGACACTCCAACACCAGACACACCAACACCAACCCCAGACACACCAACACCAGACACACAAACACCATACACACCAACACCAGACACACCAACACCAGACACACCATCACCAGATACACCAACACCAGACACACCAACACCAGACACACAAACACCATACACACCAACACCAGACACACTAACACCAGACACACCAACACCAACACCATCACCAGACACACCAACACCAACACCAGACACACCAACACCAACACCAGACACACCATCACCAAACACACCAACACCAACACCAGACACACCAACACCAACACCAGACGCACCAACACCAACACCAGACACACCAACACCAACACCAGACACACCAACACCAACACCAGACACACCATCACCAGACACACCAACACCAACACCAGACACACCAACACCAGACGCACCAACACCATCACCAGACACACCATCACCAGACACACTTACACCAGACACACTTACACCAGACACACCAACACCAACACCAGACACACCAACACCAACACCAACACCAGACACATCAACACCAACACCAGACACACCAACACCAACACCAGACACACCAACACCAGACACACCATCACCAAACACACCAACACCAACACCAGACACACCAATACCAGACACACTATCTCCAGACACACCAACACCAACACCAGACACACCAACACGAGACACACCAACACCAGACACACACCATCACCAGACACACCAACACCAGACACACCAACACCAACACCAGACACACCAACACCAGGCACACAAACACCAGACTCATCATCACCAGACACACCAACACCAACACCAGACACATCAACACCAGACACACTAACACCAGACACACCAACACCAACACCAGACACACTAACACCAGACACACCAACACCATCGCCAGACACACCAACACTATAACCAGACACACCAACATCATCACTAGACACACCATCACCAGACACACCATCACCAGACACACAAACACCATAAACAGACACACCAACACCATCATTAGACACACCATCACTAGACACACCAACACCAGACACTCCAACACCAGACACACCATCATTAGACACACCATCACTACACACACACCATCACCAGACACTCCAACACCAGACACACCAACACCAGACACATCAACACCAGACACATCAACACCAGACACACCAACACCAGACACACCATCACCAGACACACCATCACCTGACACACCAACACCAACACCAGACACACCAAGATCATACTTACACGAAAGTACTGAACGTTGGTGGAGTTTGTCTGCCACAACATTGTTACGGAAGGATGGTCGAGGACGTCTTGTATGGTCTGGAAGGGCTGCCGGATGTACCTGACGGCCAGGCCGGACATGAGGTCTCCCTGGTAGCTTCTGCTCAACACCAGACCCACCGTCATCCATGCTACCAGCACCAGCCGCCTCCACCCCGTGATGGATGAAGCTCTGTAATCTTTTGGGAGAGCACGAGAATGATCAACAAAATTATTGTGAGTCGTTATTTACATACTTAATTCGACTGTTTTTGGCCGTGTTCAATTCAAGTTCAAGTATGTATATTGAGACAAGAAAGAAGTACACCTCAAAGGGATAGAGCAGCTTAGGCTATTTCTACCTCCTAAGGCCATGGATATGCCTTTACATTATACTTTTGTAACTTTGATGGGATATTTAGCATGTGGATCACCCGATGTGGGGTCACCCGTGGGTGGGTTATTATCCGTCAGAAAAACATTCACACCACGAGAAGTGTACTTTATCCTTATCCTTCTCTTCCAGTGTCAATAAGTGTCCAGGTAGCTCTTGGGTTGCCACTCCATTAACAATTCAACAATATAACCAAAACAGAAACTGAGGGACCCAAGCAACCCACTGAACTTATTGTAGCTGATAAGAAGAAAACGCCAAATATGCTTTAATTTAACTTAAAACGTATGCTTTAATTTCTGCGGATAGTTTACATTTTAAGTAATTGGACAAATCCGTTAAAAAATTGTACCTATTAGGTCACTTTTTCATTGAATTTAGTTAGAATCAGTTTTTGTTTTAGGAGTGATTAACTTCTGACGTGAACTATGATACATACCCTGGTGCTGGGTGTCAGGGGTGTCAGCGTTCATCTGACAGGGAACAGGCCAACCTGCGGGTGGAGTCGCCTGCTGCGTTCTCCACCATCACTCACCTCTCACCTGTGGCTCCTAGTAGCTGTTTGCAGGCAACAGCGACCACACTCCGGCAAACCGCTTCGACTGGCGGGCAAAACCAGGTGAGGGTAGCTGAAGGATCGGGAACCTTTGTGAACTACAGCGCGTCTACCTACCCATGTGTTAAGACTGAACCCGGCAGATTGCCTGGAAGATACCAGCAGAATTGTTCAATGGGCAGGAAGGCGGACCAGCAAAGCGTTGTGGAGCGCAGTGAGAAACCGAGGTCAGTGCAGTCCATCCACTGCAACCTAACCTGTCTTGTGCCGTCTCAACAGGTCCTGCTGCTGGACCCAGATAAGCCAGGACGAGAGAGTGAAGCTGATGAGTTGCGCAACTCTCCCTCAACTTAATCTAAATAAAACACAAGTCATGACTTCAACCCATACCGCCAATCCTCAAGCCCAGTGGCAATGGGCAAGTGACGAAGCCGGGGTTGCAGATACACTGAAAGCTATAGTCACCGACCTGCACACTGGCGGCTCAGGGCATAGGGTCGTTCTCAACTGGACCAAAGCAGCAGCAGCAGAGTTCAGTAGCCCCCTGGGCGTCTGAGCAGCCCCCAGGGTGTCTGAGCAGCCCCCTGGGTGTCTGAGCAGCCCCCTGGGTGTCTGGGCAGCCCCTGGGTGTCTGAGCAGCCCCCAGGGTGTCTGGGCAGCCCCCTGGGTGTCTGGGCAGCCCCTGGGTGTCTGAGCAGCCCCCAGGGTGTCTGAGCAGCCCCCTGGGTGTCTGAGCAGCCCCCAGGGTGTCTGGGCAGCCCCCTGGGTGTCTGGGCAGCCCCCAGGGTGTCTGAGCAACCCCCAGGGTGTCTGGGCAGCCCCCTGGGTGTCTGGGCAGCCCCAGGGTGTCTGGGCAGCCCCCTGGGTGTCTGGGCAGCCCCTGCAACCCCTGGGTGTCTGAGCAGCCCCCAGGGTGTCTGAGCAGCCCCCAGGGTGTCTGAGCAGCCCCCAGGGTGTCTGGGCAGCCCCCTGGGTGTCTGGGCAGCCCCTGGGTGTCTGAGCAGCCCCCAGGGTGTCTGGGCAGCCCCTGGGTGTCTGAGCAGCCTCCAGGGTGTCTGGGCAGCCCCCTGGGTGTCTGGGCAGCCCCTGGGTGTCTGAGCAGCCCCCAGGGTGTCTGAGCAGCCCCCAGAGTGTCTGAGCAGCCCCCTGGGTGTCTGGGCAGCCCCTGGGTGTCTGAGCAGCCCCCAGGGTGTCTGGGCAGCCCCCAGGGTGTCTGAGCAGCCCCTGGGTGTTTGGGCAGCCCCCTGGGCATCTGAGCAGCCTCCAGGGTGTCTGAGCAGCCCCCTGGGCTTCTGAGCAGCCCCTTGGACGTCTGAGCAGCCCCCTGGGTGTCTGGGCAGCTCCCCTGTGTGTCTGAGCAGCCCCCTGGGAGTCTGGGCAGCTCCCCTGTGTGTGTGAGCAGCCCCCCCCTTGGTATGTTGGGCAGCCCCTGGGTGTCCGAGTAGCCCCTGGGCGTCTGTGCAGCTCCCTGGGTGTCTGAGCAGCTCCCTTGTGTGTATGCCGTATGCTGCAGTATGAGCAGCCCCCTGGGGGTCTGGGCAGCCCTCTGGGTGTCTGGGCAGCCCCCTGGGTGTCTAGGCCGCCCCCTGGGTGTCTGGGCCGACCCCTGGGTGTCTGGGTCGCCGCCAGGGTGTCTGGGCCGACCCCTGGGTGTCTGGGTCGCCGCCAGGGTGTCTGGGCCGCCCCCTGGGTGTCTAGGTCGCCGCCAGGGTGTCTGGGCCGCCCCCTGGGTGTCTGGGCCGACCCCTGGTTGTCTGGGTCGCCGCCAGGGTGTCTGGGCCGCCCCCTTGGTGTCTAGGTCGTCCCTTGGGTATCTGAGCCACCCTCTTCAGGACACTCTGCTCACCTATCTTGAGGAAGGGGCCAGCTAAGGTGTTTTAAACATTGCCTGCTTCAACTCACTCTGGCTACCAACCCGCGGCTCGCGGGGATGCCTCACAGTGGTCGAACACATACAAAGACAAAAGTGAGGGTGATCAATCTCGGTTCTTGGAACGTTCGAACTCTGCTGGATGACACCAAGGCAGACATACCTGTAAGGCGAACTACACTAGTTGAAGAGGAACTAGCGCGCTACAATGTGGGCATAATAGCACTCAGTGAAACAGCTTGGCCGACAAATGTCACCTTACAGAACGTGGTGGTGGGTACACCTTTTTCTGGAGAGGTCAAAGTATTGCTGAGAGACGAGAAGCTGCCGTTGGATTTGCCATCAGATCAAATCGCCCAAAAAATTGCCAAGCTACCAGAGAGCACCAACGACCACTTAATTACGCTCAACAAGAGAAGTGAAACGCTGATCAGTACATTTGCCCAACCATGACCTACCCAGATGACATCAAGAAAAATTATATGATGAACTCTACCTCCTCATAGCAGCAGTCCCAAAATCAGAGAAGCTAATAATCCTCGGTGACTTCATCGCCAGAGTAGGAACAGAAGACTACCATACCTGGGAAGGGGTCATTGGAAGACATGATACTGGTAAGTACATCAGCAATAGCTTTCTCCTCCTAGCGTTGTGTGCTACGTCGACCTCTTCTTCTCCAACACACTGTTTCACCTTCCCACCCACAACAAGCACCTACGCTCTAGGCATTGGCACCTGATTGATTATGTCATCGCCAGGAAGGAAGAAAGACAGGCAGGACGTGAGTGACTAAAGTCATGTGAGGTGCCGACTGCTGGACTGACCATCGCCCATTGTGTCCACGTGCAAACTTCTCATCGTGCCCACGGGAAGACCGCAAGGTCAGAAACCTGTAGAGAGACTCGGTGTCTCTAAGTAGAAGAGCAGCAAGTTGCTGAAGGATTCTCTAGCGATTTAGAAGGCAGGATGCTAGATACACCATAGAATGACGAGGACAACATGACCAGGGCAGCCTTCAGAGATGCAGTCTACTCTACTGCTTTTGAGGACCTCGGACCAGCAATCCGCAGAAACCAAAACTAGGTCGACGAAAACGATGAGGAGAGACAGGCATTGCTGTCAAAAGAAATATCACGTGTTCCGTGCACGCTAGAATGACACTACATCACGAAGGAAGAAAAATGCCTTTGCCTGAAGAAAGGTACGAAGGAAACTCCGTGAGATGCAGGATGCATCACGACACCAAACGTTTTTATGACCCTCTGAAGGCTATGTATAAGGACCACAGCCCTCTGGTTCTGCTTCCCTCCCCAGTGCCGATGGGACTGACAAAGAAGAAGCAGATCTTGAACAGATAGGACGAACATTATGATCAGGTCCATAACCGCATTGCTGCAATCAACGATGAGGCCATTGCTCGGGTGTGGGGGGGGGGGGGGAGAAATAGCCAAATAGCCTAAGCTACTCTATCTCTTTGAGATGTATTTTTTTTCTTGACTCAATAAACATACTTGAACTTAACTTGAAGGCCATTGCTCGCCTACCTCAAGCTGTGATCAACCAGGACCTTGATAAACCTCCCACCTTCCTACAGAAAACTAAGGCCAGATAAGCAGGCCACGGTGTAAGCCTACGAGTGGACCAGGAAGGGTCCATTGTGTGGACCAGGAAGGGTCCATTGTGAGGACCAGGAAGGGTCCATTGTGTAGACCGGGAAGGGCCCATTGTGTGGACCGGGAAGGGTCCATTGTGTGGACCGGGAAGAGTCCATTGTGTAGACCGGGAAGGGTCCATTGTGTGGACCGGGAAGAGTCCATTGTGTAGACCGGGAAGGGTCCATTGTGTGGACCGGGTGGTATGTGTGAATGACCAGAACCACTGGACGTTCACTCCTACTCATACACTTTCTGATATGCTCTGCATGCTATTTACTCAAATTATCTTTTAGTATACTAGGAAAAGAACAGAGTTTGCTCTTACTAGAAATACAAATTAAGAACAATTAATAAAACTGAAACAAATAATAATATAAATATTATCACTGTCACATAAATTATGGATTGAATTGATAATAATATATGTTTTGTATATATAGTTAACACTTATGACCTCGTTTTCAGTTGAGTCATGTGTTCTGTTAAAGGAAGAGGATTAAAACATAATTTTATTCATGTTTATTGATAACAATTATCATGGCATAACTATAAACAGTTTTTCTTTCTAGGAACGCAACAAAAAATTCATATTAATATCATAAATGTAATTTTAACAGTATTTTGACACAAAAAACATAGAGGGGTATAGAGGGGTTTCAGTTATTTAAGTAGCTATAAAACACGCTCATATAATAGCTTACCTTGCTGCAATAATATTCGAGAGAGGTCAAAGGTGTTCTTCCCCCAGGTGTAGTGTTTAGCAGCCGTGGGTGAGCAGCATGTGGCCAGGACCACCATGACGACGGGCAGCACCAGAAGCGCTGTCAGGATGGCCACCCACACCGGGAGCTCCAAGGGCAACACGAAAGCCCAAGGGTTCACTTCCGGACGCCCTCGAGCACCCATGATCCTCGCGTACTCTATGGCAATTGGCCAGGTAAAGTCCACTACCTCATTGCGGCTCTCAGTAACACCAAACGGTCCAATGGCAAAGTCTGCTTCCTATGTTGGTTCGTAGGGTGAAGAATGCTTGTTAGTTTAATATATATTGTGCGCTGAAAAGTGTTTGAAACAAAAATCTTACATTAAACTGGGGAATAAAATATTGGTGGTATACACACACACACACACACACACACACACACACACACACACACACACACACACACACACACACACACACACACACACACACACACACACACACACACACACACACACACACACACACACACACACACACACACACACACACACACACACACACACATAATAGGATAACGACAGCAGCGTACTCTACACTGGCGAAAATTAGAACTTCATTCAGAAACCTAAATGAGGAGGCTTTTAGGGCGCTTTGCACTGCCTACGTGAGACCCGTCTTAGAGTATGCCGCGCCATCATGGAGCCCCCACCTGAAGAAACACATAAAGAAACTGGAGAAGGTTCAGAGGTTTGCGACGAGGCTTGTCCCAGAGTTACGAGGGATGGGATATGAAGAGCGTCTGAAGGAACTGAACCTTACGACACTAGAGAAAAGCAGGGAGGGAGAGAGGAGATATGATAGGGACATATAAAATGCTCAGGGGAATTGACAAAGTGGAAATAGATGAAATGTTCACACGTAATAATAACAGAACGAGGGGACATGGGTGGAAACTGGAAACTCAGATGAGTCACAGAGATGTTAGGAAGTTTTCTTTTAGCGTGAGAGTAGTGGAAAAATGGAATGCACTTGGGGAACAGGTTGTGGAAGCAAATACTATTCATACTTTTAAAACTAGGTATGATAGGGAAATGGGACAGGAGTCATTGCTGTAAACAACCGATAGCTGGAAAGGCGGGATCCAAGAGTCAATGCTCGATCTTGCAAGCACAAATAGGTGATTACACACACACACACACACACACATTAATTATAATAGAATAATAATAACTGTAATAATGAATAATAATAATGGAAGCATAACCATTAATATAATAGAGAGAGCAGCTTCAGTTGCCTGCAGGAATGCCTCAAGACTCTTAATTATGGGCGATTTCAACCATGGAAAGATAGACTGGGAGAATGGGGACCCACATGGTGGCGCAGATACGTGAAGAGAGATAAATGCTTGGAAGTGGCCACAAGGAACTTTCTGAGCCAGCATGTCAAGGAACCCTCAAGAGTGAGAGGCAATGACGAACCAGCTAGACTCGACATGATATTCACCCTGAATGAGTCAGAAATAAGGAAAGTCAAAGTTGAAGACCCCATAGGAATAAGTGACCACAGTGTACTGACTTTTGAGTACTTGGTGGAGATAGGGATGGGATCCAAGGATGGGATCGGAGGGAAAAAGACTAAATTACCGGAGGAAAATATGACGAGATGAGGAACTTCCTCAGGGAAATACTATGGGAAATAGAACTTAGAGACAAGAATGTGCAGGACATGATGGATTTTGTCACCCAGAAGTGCCAGGAAGCTGCAGGCAGGTTTATCCCCGTTCAAAAGGAGAAAAATGAAAAACAACAAAAAAACCATGGTTCAATCAGAAATGCAAGGTAGCGAAGCAACTGAGTAAAAGAACATGGTGAAACTACAGAAATATCAGAACACCGGAGAGCAGGGAGAGATACCAGAGGGCCAGAAATGAGTACCTCAGAGTGAGGAGGGAAGCAGAGAGACAGTTTGAAAATGACATAGAGAGTAAAGCCAAGTCCCAACCAAACTTGCTCCACAGCTACGTCAGGAGAAAAACCGCAGTGAAGGAACAAGTGATGAAACTACAAAAAGGGGAGAGCAGATACACAGAGAATGAGAAGGAGGTGTGTGAAGAAGTCAACAAGAGATTCAAGGAGGTCTTCACAACAGAACAAGGAGAAGCCCCTGCACTAAATGAGGAGGCAAACCAATCAACCTTGGAGGAATTTGACCTCACCAGTGATGAGGTCAAAAGGTGTCTGCTGGAGCTGGATGTGACAAAGGCTTTTGGGCTTGACAGAATCTCACCATGGATACTAAAGGAAGGTGCTGAAGCACTAAGTGTGCCACTCTCTATGGTGTATAACAGGTCACTGGAAACAGGAGACTTACCAGAAAGTTGGACGACAGCTAATGTAGTCCCAATATACAAGAAGGGTGACAGGCAAGAGGCACTGAACTACAGGCCAGTTTTCCTAACTTGTATACCATGCAAGGTGATGGAGAAGATCGTGAAGAAAAGGCTCGTAGAGCACCTGGAGGGAAATAACTTTGTAACACACCACCAACATGGGTTCAGGGATGGTAAATCGTGCCTCACAGGTTTAATAGAATTCTGTGACCAGGCAACAAAAATTAGGCAGGAAAGAGAAGGGTGGGCCGACTGCATTTTCCTGGACTGCCAGAAAGCCTTTGAGACAGTACCCCATAAAAGGCTGTTGGAAGGCATAAAAAGTTGGAGCAACAGGCAGGAGTAAAAGGGAAGGTGTTCCAGTGGATAAGGGAATACATAAGGAACAGGAAACAGCGAGTAACGGTGAGGAAGGAGACATCAGAGTGGCGAGATGTCACCAGCAGAGTCCTACAGGGCTCAGTACTTGGACCCATCCTGTTTCTAATATATATAAACGATCTTCCGGAGGGTATAGACTCGTTCCTCTCAATGTTTGCTAATGATGCAAAAATCATGAGAAGAATCAAGACGGATGAAGATAAACAGATACTACAGGATGACCTGGACAAACTGGAGGAATGGTCTAGAAAATGGCTGCTAAAGTTCAACTCAGGATAGTGTAAGGTAATGAAATTAGGCGAAGGGAGCAAGAGGCTGAATACAAGGTATTATCTGGGAGGTGAAATCCTGCAAGAGTCAAATTGAGAGAAAAATCTGGGGGTTGATATCACACCGAACCTGTCCCCAGAGGCCCACATCAAAAGAATATCATCAGCGGCATATGCTAGACTGGCCAACATAAGAACTGCCTTTAGAAACGTGTGTAAGGAATCGTTCAGGACCTTGTATACCACTTTTGTAAGACCAATCCTGGAGTATGCAGCTCCAGCCTGGAGTCCATACCTAGTTAAACACAAGACAAAGTTAGAGAAGATTCAGCGGTTCGTCCCGGAACTCAGAAGAATGAGCTACGAGGAAAGGCTAAAGGAGCTGAACCTCACATCCCTGGAAAACAGAAGAGTAAGGAAAGACATGATAACCACCTACAAAGTTCTCAGGGGAATTGACAGGGTGGACAAAGACAAACTCTTCAGCAAGGGTGGGACACGAACAAGGGGACACAGGTGGAAACTTAGTACCCAGATGAGTCAGAGACGTTAGAAAGAATTTTTTCAATGTCAGATTAGTTACTAAATGGAATGCACTAGGAAGTGATGTGGTGGAGGCTGACTCCATACACAGTTTTGAATGTAGATATGATAGGGCACAGTAGGCTCAGGAATCTGTACACCAGTTGATTGACAGTTGAGAGACGGGACCAAAGAGCCAAAGCTCAATCCCCGCAAGCACAAATAGGTGAGTACACACACACCACACCCACACACACTCACACACACACACACACACACACACACACACACACACACACACACACACACACACACACACACACACACACACACACACACACACACACACACACACACACACACACACACACACACACACACACACACACACACACACAGCCTCGTAGGGGCCTCGTAGCCTGGTGGATAGCGTGCAGGACTCATAATTCTGTGGCGCGGGTTCGATTCCCGCACGAGGCAGAAACAAATGGGCAAAGTTTCTTTCACCCTAAGTGCCCCTGTTACCTAGCAGTAAATAGGTACCTGGGAGTTAGTCAGCTGTCACGGGCTGCTTCCTGGGGTGTGTGTGTGTGGTGTGGAAAAAAAAAAAAAAAAAAAGTAGTTAGTAAACAGTTGATTGACAGTTGAGAGGCGGGCCGAAAGAGCAACGCTCAACCCCCGCAAAAACACAACTAGTAAACACAACTAGTAAACACACACACACACACACACACACACACACACACACACACACACACACACACACACACACACACACACACACACACACACACACACACACACACACACACACACACACACACACACACACACACACACACACACACACACACACACACCAACATGGTTTCAGAGATGGCAAGTCCTGCCTCACAGGATTAATTGAATTCTACGATCAGGCAAGACAGAGAGGTGTGGGCAGACTGCATATTTTTGGATTGCCAGAAAGCCTTTGACACAGTACCACACCAGAGACTAGTGCGAAAGCTGGAGATGCAGGCAGGAGTTAATGGGAAGGTACTCCATTGGATAAGGGAGTACCAAAACAACAGCGAGTCACTGTGAGGGGTGAGGTCTCATACTGGCGAGACGTCACCAGTGGAGTACCGCCGGGTTTGCTGTCCGTGGACCTATACTGTTAATGATATATGTAAATGATCTACCAGAGGGTATAGAATCATTCCTCTCATTGTTTGCTGATGATGCAAAAATTATGAGGAGAATTAAGACGGAGGAATATAGTATGAGGCTAAAAAAGAACACCTAGACAGACTGAATGAATGGTCCAATAAATGGCTACTAAAGCTCAACCAGAGTAAATGTAAGGTAATGAAACTAGGCAGTGGAAACAGGCCAGCCACAGGATACAGAATGGGAGATGAAGTTCTTCATGAAATGGACAGAGAGATCTAGGAGTTGATATCACACCAAACCTGTCTCCTGAAGCTCACGTCAAGAGTATAACATCTGCGGTCTATGCGAGGCTGGCTAACATCAGAACTGCCTTCAGGAACCTTTGTAAGGAATTATTCAGAACCTTGTATGCCACAGACATATATAAGACCAATTCTGGAGTATGCGGCCCCTGCATAGAGCCCGTACCTTGTCAAAGCACAAGACGAAGCATGAAAAAGTTCAGAGGTATGTCACTAGGCTAGTCCCAGAACTAAGAGGCATGGGTTACGAGGACAGGCTGCGTGAAATGCACCTC